GGCGTGGCTGGGGCTCGAGTGTTGTTTCCCTGGTTCAGCTGCATACACTGGGTGCAGCCTCCTGCCTTTTCTGACCAGCCTCAGCTTCATTTCTGCATTAGTTCACATGTGGCAGCCCCTGTATTGGGCTCAGGGGGTAGAGAAGCAAACGTGTGGCACAAAGTTTCTTCCTGAGTTTATAATCTTGTAGGAAATATGCACGCAAGGATGTTGGAGCAGGGCAAGCCTTACGGTATTGATGTGTCTAAGTTCCATAGGATCAGTGAGGGTGGAGCACCTGGGTCAGTCTGGGGATGCTGAAGGCTCTGCAGAGTAGGAGTCAGATGTGTAGTGTCAGAGGGGATAGGGGAGAGCGGGATGGCCTGGGTTGGGGCAGGGGAGTCGCCAGTATCAGCAGAGATGCTAGAGGGGCCAGAGATGCTCCAGCCTCCCTTCTTTCCTCCCCCCTGCTGGTGTAGATGTCTTGAATAAATGACTCTCTTAGCTCCCCAAAATGCAAGCTCCTTCCTGGGGTTGGAAGAACCAACCATTCTCACTGAAGAAAGCACTAGAAATAAAATCTCTTACAGTTTAACTTTCTATTATGCTGTCTGACTTTGAAATGCTGTAGGTAGAAAAATACATACACGGAGGGTGAATGCTCTAGTCATGAGCTTTGGAGGTAACGAATTCACACTCATGTAGACAATTTACTACAACCAAAGTTTCTAACCACCAAAATCAAGTGACAATTAACAAAGCAGAAATTAACGGACAAGTCCATCTTTGAACATTGAGTTACCTTCTTTTGTAACAGCTGTGTGTTAGTTGCTAGTGAAATGTTCTCTATTCATTTGACTTTTGAATATAACATGTTCCAGAATATTGTAAAATTAAGTACACAAATGTTTCTTCATGTTCAGAATTAAACATTTGGTGTTTGAATCCCAGGATTAGGAGACAACTCCATGTAAATTTAATGTGTAATAATGAGATATTTATTACTCTTTAAAAAACACTTGGATGAAAGTATACATATTGATAAATGACTATTATTTGAGTATTTTGTTTTGTTTTCATTAACTTTTGTGAAACTAAAAGATTGGCTGTAATATTTTGTGTCTTGACCTACTACCAATTCATCACTTTCTACTTTGCTATTGGAACCTAATCGGCCTTTTGGACATCCCTGAAGAGCGAAAATACGAAATTGTAGCAAGTATTCTGACCTTTGTTCTGTGAAAAATGATAAAATCTAAGTCATGTGGCCAAAATTTTAGAGAATTGACAATACAACAGGTGAAGAGAATTGGCTTAAATTCCCTTTGCACCTTCAATGAATCTGTTGAGATCCTTCACGCCTTCAGGAGATGATGTGGTTTCCATTTATAAACCCTTTGCGATACTGTCTGTGGTGTATACTTGTGCTTCTGGGATTGCCAAGTGGAGATATCACATAGCATCCCCAAGTGTCATCACTGTGATCCATGCGTGGATGATGACACACCTAATTTAGGTAATGCTGCACTTCTCGTTATAATTGGTTATTGGAAAACGTGCCTTTATTATCAGAATAGTGGTGTGCGCATTTCTGATCATGTAGCAAACCTTTGGATATTGGACTTACATATTAAAAACATTTGGGTGTTGAGGTTTTGCACCTGTAGATACAATTTAACAGCATGGAATTGATCATTCAATTAGACATTTTCTATAAAATGCACCTTGTTACATTTCTGTGAAAGGCTCTTACCAATGCAGATGAGTTGTGGCTCAAGGGTTGAGGGAAACAACCATTTTCTAAATAGTTAATTGTTTAAACGACTATAAATGTTAAGTCTGCTGGCAATAAAGGCTGTTGTGAAAAGTCTCTTTTATTCAGATGGTGGATCTTCTATTGCCTCACCAAAGAGAGGAGGGGCACGTGAAACTTTTCCCTAGAAAGTAAGTATTCTCAGTTATTCCCCAGGAGACTTCTTTAAAAACAATCACAGCACAACCTGGCCCCATCCATCAGGGCTTCGGAAATGAAAATGGGATCTTGGCAGAAGCATCCTGGAAGATTTACTTGTTACCTACTGTGATCTAGGCAAGGCACCTAGGAAATCTTGGGCAGAATCAGAGGGGGGCAACTACAGAAGGCTGCAATCCTTGCTCGTGTGGAAGCATTTCATCACAAGTTGTAACGAGTGTCACTACAAGGACAGTTATGCCGAATAGCGGCCTCTTTATGCAGAACACAGGACAGAGAGGCTAACACTAACCATTTGCATGAGAGAAAGCAAGTGTGTAAGGGCCAGTTCTGATGGACTCTCTCTCATTTTATTAACAACAGCAAATGGAGCAGAGCCAGGTGTCCCATCTCTTTGAGCCATGCTTTTATTGCCTTGGGTCTTACAATTTTCTCCCCAACAAAGAGCTGTTAAATACACTTCATCAAAGCAGTCTGATCAAAATTGTGTAAATAGTGCCCAGTACAGCAAAGCTGCATTACAATACCATCTATGATAGTGGAGAAATAGAAGAGAAACAAGTTATTTGGGGTTCTCAATGTGGTTTAATTTCCAAAATACTGAGAAACACGGGCAGCAGGTGAGAGGCACTGCTGGGGGTGGGGGATCATAAAAAACGATAGAACAGTCCCGCCACATGGACTCCCAAGAGTGGCTTGTATTTTTTATTTTTTTTTAACAAACATACACTGGAAATAGTAAAGGTTACTAACTGAAAAGAAGCCTCACGTGTATTTGCTCTGCTGTGGTGATAATAAGGTCATCTGTTTCTAAATTTCAGGGTTAGCACTTTGAAACGCTCAGTTGCTAAATTACCTCCAGCTGCATAGCTAGTATGCTATCAAAGGTGGTTAGTTTTTGCATATATTGAATGAGCGCAATTACAGTTTGGGTGTACTTTTCGTTCAGATTGCTTAAAAGTCTTGTGTTATTGGGCGGTGCCTGTGGCTCAAAGGAGTAGGGCGCCGAGGTGGTGGGTTCAAACCTGGCCCTGGCCCCAAACTGCAAAAACAAACAAACAACAACAACAACAAAAACCTAAAAAAAAAAAAAAAAGTCTTGTGTTATCTCAAAGGAGCCTTATGTCATACCATGAGAGTGGATGCCTCCTAGTGGTAATGGTTCACGTGGGCTCCTTAAAAGGGTTAAAGCTACAAGATGTTGGGACATCTGCATTATGGAACAAAGTATTATTTAATATCAGCAACAGAGAGATCAAAGTCCCCCCAAGCAGTTCACAGCCATAGCATAAAGTTCTAGTTGTCTCACACCAATGTGAAAATGTAGTACCGAACATTTTGGCTTCCAGATATATTTTGTTTGTGCAAACCCAGTACCTTAATGCTTTATTATTTAGAAATGCCCTGGGTTTTCTCGTGCTATTTGATAACACGATATGCTGCTTTTTAGTGATGTGGATAAGGCAACACAAAACTCCCCTAATGAACATATCCTTACAAATGGGTTTTATCTCATCAGTAACAAAAAATTAGAAAAGTCTTTGGTCAGTCCGTGGAGGTCACCCAGAACCCCTGGCAATGTTCCTTGGCAACAGAAACTTGTATCAGATAACAAACAAGAATCGATTTCTCTTAGAAAATGTTCCTAATGTGCTAAGACAATTCTTTTAAGTTTCACTCAGGCAAAATTCTCGCTGGACCTAAAAAAACTTTAGGGGATTCCGATGTGAGGATCACTCAACTAAGAATCCTTTTGAAGGTTCATTGTTTTTGTTCTTGTTCTTCTAAAGACCTCAACACAACAGCTCTGTACTTGTCTACAAACATGCTTTCTTTTCATCTATTTGTATTGCATGAGTTTTGGAGGGAATAGCAGGTACAAAAATGTCTTCTGAGTAATCCCTTTATAAGGTAAATGGAGTGGTATAGGTTCAACTTATGTTGAAAAGTAAAATTACAGTATCATGTAGATATGATTACAATACGTCTCCTTGAAGAATGCATGAACTGCCAGATTGCATCTCCTAACCTGACAAACTGCTCTCAGTAATGGTCACAATCAGGGCCAACTCTTAGGAAGCTGTGAGACTGCTGACGAGCCCTGCCACTCAGTAGTGACACCATGGGGATTCCTGACTTGGTACTTTCCTGATATAGAATTGAAGTGCTGCTGTGAACTCTCCTCATTCCCGGGACACCCTCTGTTACAGGAATCTGGTCATTCCCCTCAGTGTCCTGGTGAGCAGGCCAGCTGTCTGCTCCCACTTTTCATCTTGGGTTCTTTTCTCGGGCTGGTCTTGGGGAACAGGTTTCTGGGAGATCTTGTCCAACTTTGCAGTGATTTGCAGAAATCTCCAAATCGTGTGATTTGGCTTTGGGATGTGCCTAAAATTGTGCAGGGACACATGACTGGAGAAACACAGGGCTGGTTTGGGTCAGACCCATACATCTCGGTCCACAGGCTTAGAGGTTCCCTTTCGGGGAATTTGGGCCTTTAAAAACTTGCTTAATGCAAGATTTCATGTTAGTCGGCAAAGACTGGGAGTAGCAAGTCCACCTAAGTCACAGCCATGTCCTTGTACCTGGGGGTTTAGTCAGAATGTGACTGTATGAGTACCGCAGGGCAAACTCCGAGAACACGCTGTCGGGTAACATAGAAACGTGGAATACACAAGCATCATTCTGTACACAATGAGTGTTGATTACAGTTATCAAAACATCATCCAGAGGCACACTGAGAAACACACAGCACTGTGCAGCCCACGACCTCCCCTCTCTGGGATCAGAGAGCAGTGTCAGGGATTCAGGGGAAAGCGCCAGATGACATCAGCAGCTTAGTACATTCAGAAGTTGCCGGAGCCGGAGACAGACAGCGGTTCACTCTGAAATGCACTGGAGATTCCGTGGGTCCCTTCCTTAGGAGACACCATGCTGGGCAGACTTGGGTGAAATGAAGTAGATCCTCCCAGTCACAGTTCTTAAAGGGCCCAGACGGAAGCGATGCATGCAATAAATAAGGGCGTGTCTGCAGGCGGGTGCATGGAGACGTTCACCGGCAAAGGATCCCATTCTGGAATGGTTGGTTGTCAGTGATGCAGGATGAGGTGGCTGCATGGGGCAGGTCTTCCCTGACCTTCGGGGAGTGGCTACTGTTGTTGCTGCTGCTTGATTTGCTTCTGCTTGGGTCAAGAGCGGGCTGGGTGGGTGAGGCACGGGTACCCGGGCCCCTGAGCAGGCAGGTGCAGACCAGACGGAAGAAGGCTCGCCGCATCTCCTTGCTGGCCAGCGTGTAGATGACTGGGTTCATGGCGGAGTTGAGCACGGCCAGCACGATGAACCACTGCGCCTTGAAGAGCACGGGGCATACCTTTACCCTGCAGGCCACGTCGATGAGGAATAGGATGAAGAGTGGGGACCAGCAGGCGATGAACACGCTCACGACAATCACCACTGTGCGCAGCAGGGCCATGGAGCGCTCCGAGTTGTTGTGGTTGGTCACCCTGCGGCTGCTGGACTTTACCAGGCAATAAATGCGCGCATAGAGGATCACGATGGTCACCAAGATGGCCATGAAGATGCTGATGCAGAAGGCGATGTACTTCTTGGAGTAGAGCGGCAGGATAGTGGAGCAGTCCGGGAGGTTGTGCAGGCAGTTCCAGCCCAGGATGGGCAAGGCGCCCAGAGAAAACGCGATGAGCCAGCACATCCCGATCAGAAGGAAGACACGGTGCTTCTTGTTGGCATCGTAAGGCCTCATCTTGATCATGGTCAAGTGTCGCTCGATGGCAATGGCCAGCAAGCTACAGGTGGACGCTCCGAGGGCCACAAACATGCTGCCCTCCCTTAGGAACCAGACTGTCGGAGACAGGCTGAATGTCTTCTTGCCAGACATCAGAATGTTGACTGTGTAGGCGATGCCGGCCAACAGGTCACAGAGAGCCAAGTTGCCGATGAAAAAGTACATACGATTGTGAAATTTATTGTTTTTCCAGATAGCAATCAAAACCATCAGGTTCTCCAAGACGATGAAGCTGCAGATGACCAAGAAGAGTACGGTGGTGAGCGTGCTGCCCTCAGGGGCTTCCTTCAGCCTGCCAGCCAGCTTCCCAACATAGTTGTAATGCTCCTTCAGGGTCTCATTACCCGGGACAGGAGGGTGGAGCTGCGAGAGGGTGGTTGCCATGGCTTGGCATTCGCAGGCAGTTAGCTCCGCCATCCACGAGAGGGCACCCGAGGAGCGCTCATTTCAGGGGCAGCCGGGACAGCGCCGGCGGCCGCAGGGATGAGCACGCCAGGCTGCAGCGAGCGGGTTGGAAACAGGCTCCTGCAGGAAGAGAAAAGGAGAGGAGGACGTTGATAGAGTGATCTCCATCTAATAGGCCAGCTACACGGTGGAGGAAAAGGCATTTCTGCAGCACTGGGACGGATGGTCGAGTCAGGGCCGAGAGGGGTCTTTAAACACAGGCCAAGCTCCTAAATGACTGAGTAAAGCCACCAGAAGAGATCTGGTGGCTGGAGCTGCTGGGAAGGAGAATTCATTGCAAGGGCCGTTTAATCAGGTAATGGAGACACACAGACCCAAATAACACTTCCATCTGGAGATCTCCAGGCATTAGGAAATACTAACCAGTTAGTCCTCATCTGTCACATGGGAGCTGGTGAAACGCTATTGTCACTTACCCAGAGAGAAACAGGATTTTCTCAGGACAAAAAAAATCCAGGGTATGATCTGACTGAGGGCCCGCCCAATTTCCGCAGCCTCCCTGGTGAGTTTTGGGGTGGCATGGTGGGAAGCATCGACACTGCCCAGACGGCCTTCCCTGGGGCAGGGACCAGGGCCAGATATCAGGTCCCGATGGAAGGAAGCCCCAGATCTGACCTTGCGAACACGGAAGGAAGAACTGGAGCGGCTGAACACTGCCCACAGCCCAGAGTGAGCACATAGCTGAGTCCAGAGCTGGGTGAGGAAGCAAACGTCTAAGAACTGGGACTCACTTCTACCAGGGTTAAAGGAAGAAAGGGAAGGCAATGAAAATGACATAGTTTTCCAGTTTGGCTTAAAATTCAGAGGTCTACAAATTAGATCTAAATGAATCTATTCTCGCAAGCCAATTGAAACAGCACGTTAGAGAGAACAGAGAGAGGGAAGGCAGTCAGCCCTGTGCAGGCCCTTCCTGGGTTCTGATTTCTCATCCCTCCCCCAGGGCTGCACACTTTCCTCAGTCCCATTGGTTACACTGACTGGCCTCCTGTGATGATGATGAAGCACACCCACCTATCAAGGTAGAATTTGCCTTCAGTGGACTCACATATTTATTAAATTAAAATAATAATTTAAGGAAGGGAGAGGACCGTGATATTTTAATATCACAAAATATTCAATTAAAATTGAGTATTTAAATATTAAGATCATATGAGGTTAATTTAAAACAGCCCACTGTATCTAGTGAAGAGTTTTTTACTTTCATAATGTTTAGTCCACAGCCATAAATTTGATTCAGAGACACATGGACCCCTTGCCAATGAGTGGGCTCTGCGCTGAAGGGTACAACAGCTTCAATAGGCCTTATTCACCCTTGAGTCCATTCCTCTCTGTGCATTAGTTTTGGGGGGCTTGGATTTTCTGACATGGCCCATTGCTTCTTTGCAGGATTTCTTCCAGAGTCCTGGAGCTTCAAGGGAGGTGTTGGTTGTTCTTGAAACCCCAGGGGTCATCTGAGCTGACGTCTGTCTATGTTCTGCCTAGAACTGCCCCCTGACCCTTCCCCACCCCCTCCGTGAGAGCTGTCTGAGATGGTGGAGGTCTGGGTGGCTGTCAGCTGGAATGCCAAGTGCTGGTAGGAGCTTTCATATGTTGGCCAAGGCACTGTGCTAACTCCAAAAAGGAAAAGCAGCCATGCTCTGAGTCTAGGCTGACCATGCAGGGAATGGCCTGTCCTGGTCTCCCTGTCACTCATGAGCTATGGCAGGCAGCACAGGGCCCAGCCTACCTCTCCCTGACCAGAGTCTACCACCCTAGCCCTGCCTGGCTTCCCACCTTGTCTGCAGGTTCTCCTGGAAAAGAAAAGATAGTCCAGTGGGCAGCTTTCCCACCAGCTCTAGCTCCACTCCTCTTGCAAACTCCAAGTCAAACTACCGGCTCTATAACATTTTCTGGAATCATCTTAGCCTGGGTGAATTTTCTCTAAGGCTGAACATTACTTTAAAAAAAAAAGTTGCAAACTGTCTTTTGAAGAGTAGAAATACAATAAGCAGCTGACATTTCCCAGTGTGGGTACATCCATCACACAGCCTCACCAACACAGCGCCCTGCATATTGGTAGGTGCTCAGATGACGCTGTGCCCTGATTATTATAGCTTATCTATTTCTTTTTCTGAGACTAAAACATCTCCATTTAATGACCTCACTTAGTTGGGTTTTCATTCAGAATCAGGAGCAGCTCAGGATGTATTCAGAGTGCCCCTGGTGATGGGAGCCCAAGCCCTCAGCTGCTTGCTGCCCTCTGACATCAGTGCCCAGCACCAATGACGGTCCTGGAGAGTTCAGCCATTTCTCACTGGATGGCTATGAATGTGGGCACCTGTTCAAGCAAAGGCAGGATAGAAGCCACCAAGCAGCAGCCAGTATCTTGGCATCTCCCATGGCAGCTGGGAGAGAAGGGAGGACCTGCCCTGTCCACACGTAGCTGGAGGGGCCCTCATGCCCCCATGTCCATGACACCACAGTGTCCAGGTTTACCTTGCCATGTCCCTGGGATATCCATTCTTCTATGAGGGCTTTCTGTCCCAGAACTGACAAGCAGCAGAAATGCTGTGGTTCCAATGACAAAGACTCCTGAGGCCCTTTCTGCAGCTTGGTGGGGACTTAGGTCCAGCTCCATGTTCCCTGTCCTATCAGGTAATATCAGTATTTTGACATAGTGCACACTCTTCTTGTGCTGACTCAGCTTGACTCCTGTGCCTCAGATTCTTCCATAACAATCCTACACCACCAGTTTATATACTTCCGACTCCTCTGAACATCCCCACACCTCTGCTTTTGTGACACAGAGCAGAGCAGGTAGGATGAATCTGAACTTGCTCTCAGGGTTAAGGGCAGAGGGTAAATAAGTCTCTTCTAGACTTAGAAAGAATTTTTTTTCAATAGAAAATTGAGCAGAGCAAAAATCAAAGAAACAATTAAAAACTAACAGCCAGCCATAAAAGAACCACAATAAAAATAGCTGTAAAATGTGCCAGAGACCCATCAAAACTGTGAATCTTGAGGGCAAACATACTTTCTCATTAATGCTTGATTTATCATTTCCCTTAATTAAATATTCATCATTGAAGAAACATATTTTTCTAGAACGTCTTTCGTTAAATGTGATTCTCTGCATTTTGTGTAACTGGAAGCTATCTGGCTCTCTTTGGAATCTAAAAGCTCATTTTCTCTGGATTATCACCATTTACAAAGCAGGCCCTATCCTGGGAGTTAAGTGCTAGGCTAAAAGCCAGATTGATTTTGGATGCATCTAAGCCTTGTTGCCCATGGTCAAAAGTATCTCATGGGCAAGTTTTCTCCTACTCTTGACAGGGTGCCAACCACATCATGGAGTACGCCAGATGAAAGCCCCACCCCCACCCGGAGTTAGCGAGATGAGCTTAAAGCAAGGGGGACCATTGGCCCCTCTTGGAAATGGGTACTTCCTCTGCGAGTGACTACAGGAATGCTGGGCACTGTAGGGACTGGTGGTCCAAGGAGGCCAGCCCCCCCACCCCAGAGGTCAGTGAAACCAGCAATAGGCTAACAGGGCCCCTTCCCAAGTGTGTGACCACGATCTGGGCTAGGTGCTTTCCCCTGATGGACGTCCGGTTTCTGACCTTCACCTACACAGAGCCAAGCAGGATACTATTGGGTCTGGTGCTTTTCTCACACCATGATGCTCATGTGGGTCACACACATGGAAACATGCAGATGCTGAGTATTCCTTCTGCTTGCTTCTGCTGTGTGATAGATGTACCTGCCTCTATCCCTTCTTGTTTGTATATATGGGGTAATTCCTTCCATGTCCCGGGTGTTGGTCATTGTCAGGTAGCCCAGCTAGGATTGGTTGAGGACATTCTCTCTGTGAACAGGTGCTCATGTTTCTGCAGGGCCACCATTGATCTCTGAGTAATGTGTTGGTGGTGTCCGGGTTGGCTTTAAGGGTGACTCAGAGATGCTGGCCTTCCTGAACAGTGTGTGCTCACAAGTGCCCAGCCAGCCCATCCTGCAAAGCTGGCGTTGGTAAGCACCAGGGAGGCCTCCACCGAGGGGACAACTGGTGCCCTATTAGTGCTTATGCTTTGCTTTGTACTCTGGAGCTGGCAGTGACATTGTAAGTTTGGTCGCTGTTTAATTTCCACCTGAATACTTAGAAATAAAGCTGATGCTGAGAAATGGGGCTCTGTGCAGACTGGCTTTGAACGTATTCAGAAAACTGGGGTACATTACAGAAGGCACTGTAGGGATTTTCTTTCTCACTATAGTTGTGGTCTTCTAACCAACACAGACACGCAGCTGCCCCCAGGCCCGCTCCTTGGTGGATTCTCCCCACTCGTTTCCCCTGACAACCCGGGCAGATCCCTCCACTCCCAACTCTTTAAGGGACTTAAGTATTTGATTATCTGTGTCCTTAGTCATTCCTTGTTTAATGAGAGACACTGCTGGCTTCTGAGCTTCCCTTACTCAGGAAAGACCCTCTTACCTAAGACTTTTCTCATTTCATCCTCTCTCGTCTGGGGTCATCCAGCCTACCTCAGCACATTCTAATACCAACACTTTTTCTTTTTGCTGAGAAAGAATATGATACCTTCTGGAAGATGATTTGGTGGTGGAGGACCCTAAGTTAAACCCCGCCAAGGTCAGGGATGCCTACCTTCCCCCATGGTAAGGAGCATCCGCTGGGGGGAGGGGTGAGACTGGGAGAAAAGCAGGATGGATTCCAGATGTGTTTTCTGCACCCGAGACTCACTTTCTCTACACATGTCAGTTTGAAAAATAAACAGACTATAAAAAGAAGAAAAAGAAAAGAAAGACAACATTTCCATAAAGTCGGTGAGCTCTTTCTGTCTCTCTCCCCTTCGGCAAGAAATAAAAGCACAATAAGCTATGGAGACATTTCTCCCTAGCACAGATAGGATGCTGGGTTTTTAAAACACATGTCTTCCCAGGAAAATTAACTAGTTCATTGTCCAAACTCAATTAAAACACCAAGCTTTTGCTAACAAGAAAAATTTCTTGGAAAGCAAGATTATTCTTTTTCATGCAAAAGAATTTAAAAAGGAAATAATGAG